GGGTATTAAAAAGGGCACGTTCTGCGTGGAGCACTGGGTGTTATACGCAAACAATGAATCATGAAACACTACATCAAAAACTAATGATGTAATGTATGGTGACTAACATAACATAATTTAAAAAAAGATATTAAAGCACGTTTATGTGAGTAATAGATTACCATGAAATGTAATATAAGTTTACGTTAAATATTAATATAAAATAAAATAATGTGTTATATTATTATGCAATAAAACATATTTCCAAACTCCCTGAGCTCTCTTTGCCCTTTAAATGCAGTCGCCAATGAGATGCTGCTAGTCCCACACACACGTGCTCCATTTCCTATCAGAGCCGAGCCCGTGACCCGGTGGACCTCTACATGAGGCTAAAAGTGCATCACTCGGGTGCAGTCCTCTGTCTCAAGTCTCCTGTTTGAAATCTGTACTCCTTGTCACAACTTTCAGGAGCTTTAGTTTTTCTCTTCTCTGCTTTTTTTTTTTTTTTACAAAGTTTTAGAAGGGTATGCAGTGAAATATTACAATAATTGTATAATGCCTGGACGGAACTGTGGGCTGACAGACAGCGCCACCATATGGTAGGTCTAAACCTGCACTTGTCACGCACTGAAAAACCTGGCCATCCAAAGTACAGTTTAGAGGGGTCCCTGCTTAGTGATAAGAGAGTAAGTCATCTGTTCAAAGCCACATAAGACAAGTGGAAGGCGGCCAGTAGATAGAAGGGCCAGTGGGTGCCCGGTCTGGGGCGATACATAAAGTGACCTACTTGGGGACCTTTTCAATGGGAAAACTCACAAATGGACAAAGTGAGCCCAGAACAGCCATCTGCACGTGTCACACATGCCCCACAAATGATCATCGATAATGCACTCTCTTACCAGGAAATGGAACCACTTTTTTATTCTTGCTGAGGTTCTTGAGAGATGCTAAAAAAAGAGAGAAAGATCCAGATATTAATAAACTGACCAAAGGGTTTACATACCATGAGATTTAGAAGTAAGATCTACAGCTAAAGGAATTGCTGGAATATAACCACATGGACTAATATAGACAGAATTTAGAGCCAGTTTCAGTAAAAGGATAATCGTGCATCATGACACAGAAAGTCATGCCAACATTATGCAAATTGTAGTTTCTGAGATGAGAGGGCAACTGGCAAAACTGTGATCTTATTTTTTTCCTCTAAAGAAAAGCACATTTTTCTTAAACTGCTTCCTCATGCAGCTTCATCGAGGGAAGTCAGGGGCACATGGTGGCATTTCCTTCGCTCCACACAAGATTTAGTAGGTAACAGGGTCTCTCCGGTTACACCAGTAAACTGTAAAATGCAGGTGTCGGGTGTACCCTACAAACAACCAGAAAATGTAAACCAGCTCAACTTACACAGCAGCTGCCTTTCAAAGACCCCAACAGTAAATAGCAATAAAAATAGAACATTCAGTCTAAAGTGAAAAACACTAAAAGAAATGGATGACTTAACGCCAACACTTGCAAGACAGAACCCGCTAACACACACGGTACAGCGTGAATAAATGCAGCGCAGCTTGTGTGGATCTGCCCCATTTCACAGCCTATCTGGCAATTTTGCTTTGACTTCAGGTATTCTGAGGTTTATGGAGTCTCTGCCAACTCAAGAGCATAGCATGAAAATCTCAGTCCTATCATAGATACGTGCTTCTGAATGTACCAATGTGCCCAAGTTCCCACTGGCATAATTAACACAGAAATACTTTTGCTAATAAGCACTTCAGTGAACTTGAACTCAGGAGCCAAACAGCTAGACTGAGGCTGTTCTAAAGGCCTGACATTTTGGCAAGTGGGATGAAAAAAAGATGGACAAGAGCAGCTGGGGGAGCTGACAGGCACTGGAGGAAGAAATTCGAGAAGCTGTTATAAGATGTGATTGGAGAGATTAAAATGGCAACGGCAGCAGCTGGAGAATCTGAAAACTGGGGCAGAAGAGAATGAACAAGAACTCAGAGTTTCAAGAGCAGGCTGGTTGTGAGGACATCGTGGGAGGCCAAAGGCCACTGGAACCAGACTCCCCCACAGCAGCTGGAGGAGGTCAGGAAAACCCTGCCTCTGTCCACAGAGAGTTCCGTCAATTTAACTGCTTTAAAGTGTATGTGATTTGAACATGTTGTGAGAGCGGTAGTCAGCATTTGCCGGGAAACCTCATTTTTGCTGTCATTATTTTTATGACTGCCACAGTAGACAGCAGCCGCTCGCTATAAATTAAGATGTCAGGCTCAAATTGGTGAAAATAAATCCCATGTTTTGGTTTAGGGTATAATTTGTTTGCAAAAAGTTAGAAGCCCAGTGTTAGACAGCATTTAATTTTTGTACTTTGTAACTATTACCTAGGCATCTGATTTCTCTGTGGGCTAGAATGTTTTTAAATAAATCAGCAAAGACATTTCCCAAGTCCTTAGAGGGAATTACAAATTAAATCAAAAAGTAGTTTGAATTCACAACATCTCTGATACTGGCTTGAAGGATTCCTCTCCCACCGGGAACCTAGAAAAACAGGGAACCTAATGAGCAAGCCTGCAGTCAGTATAGGCTATTTTATTCTTAAAATAATTTTAATTTTCTGCATTCAAATGCGCTCATGATAGAAAATTTGGAACATAGAGAAAAGCCCCCTAAAATGGAAATAAATTTAAGTCACAGACCCACCACCTGCTGTTTTAAATTGTAATCTACACGAAATCTGGCAATAGAAAATAAGAACTTGTCTGACTTTATAGCCTTAGGATAAACTTCCAGATGCAGATTGCTGACTCAGAGGTACACAAGCTTCAAAGTGCCCTGCAGAAAAAATGACCCAAGTCATACCCTCCTGAGGACATAGCTTCCCAAGTGATGGCTGCTGGCTCTTCCACATGCGCAGAAATGGGGATGGGTCCTCCTTACTCCTCACTGCCATGTCCAAACTGTTAGTACTTCCTCCTCCCTAAAACCTTTCACAGTTTGTGTCCTCAGACTCTACTTGCCACTTACCCTCCTTGGAGCAGCCCACCCCTCTCTCCCTGACTCTCCCAGTCTCAGTCCCTCTCTCTCAGAGCCCCTGTCACAGCCCTTGGGGATCTCAATAGCCACTCTAGACAAACCTTCCAGACTTGGTCTCTCAGCTCTGCCATCTCATCACACCCAGCAAGCCTGTTCTCCATCCTTCTCCCAAGACCACACTTTGGACCTCATCACCACCAAGCAACGTGATGACCCACGTCCACTGCCCTCTGTAATCCTGACAGAGTTCTAATACCCCCTTCACCTCACTTCACCTGGAGTTAGCATCTTATATAACCATGGTGCATTATAAAAACTAAAATTAACATTAAGACAATACTATTTAACTACAGGCTCTGTTTGGATTCCACCAGTTTTTCCATTAATATCCTTTTTCTGTTCCAGGACCCAATTCACCATAGCGCCTTGCAGTCAGTGGTCATGTCTCCTAGTGTCCTCCAAACTGTGACAGCTTCTCAGGCTCTCCTCACTTCCCATGGCCAGGACACTTCTGAAGACTACTGGCTGGGATGCCTGGGTGGCTCAGTTGGTTAAGCGTCTGCCTTCTGCTCAGGTCATGATCCCAGGGTCCTGGGATCGAATCCCACATCGGGCTCCTTGCTCAGCAAGGAGCCTGCTTCTCCCTCTCTCTCCCTCCGCTTGTGCTCTCTGTCAAATAAATAAAATCTTTAAAAAAAAAAAAAAGACTACTGGCTGGGTATTCTGTAGAACGTCCCTCAGGTTGGGTGTGGCTGATATCTTCTCATGAATGGAACAGAGTTATGGATTTGGGAGAGCAACACCAGAGAGATGCAGTGTCCTTCCCACTGCACCCTACCAAGAGGTATATGAGATTGACATTACTTTATCACTGATGGTACTAACCTTGACCCCTCGAGTTCTCCACTATAAAACATTCCAATGTTTCCTTTTAAAGATTGACAACCGATGATTTCGTCCTTACATTTTATTTTACACATAAAAAATAAGACCCAGATAGTAACGGTAGTAGAACTTCATCAGAAGAGAAATTGCAGAGGAGATGGGGTGGGAGGGATGGCTATTGGATCTTTAAGGTCCCTTCCTAGACTAAATTCCAATCATGTTATAAGCTGTTTATTCTTCTTTTCTTCATACTGATGAAACATATCAGCATCTCATTTGAAAGGAATGACAACACATTATGCTATAGGTATTATTCCTGTGAAATTTGCCAAGAAATTCAACAAAAGTATATGGTGAAAGCAGGTGAGAATGCCTTCCCGGACCATTCGACATTAGCAAGTGTTTCAACCTGAATATTTGCTTGGCGCACAACAACAGTAAAATGTCCACTGGAGGACCAGTCAAAATCAGGTGTGCAGAGATGGCTGGAAATTAAAGCAAGACACTGATGGAGGCGTGACACAGCAGGAGAGGGCCCCTCGGCCAAGTGAAGAGATGCGGGTGTCTCTTCACAACAAGCAAACAGACCTGCAGAACTCAGGGGAGTTCCAAGAGAAGCAAGCACAGAATGAAGAATGGCTGTGGGTTTCTATACAGCTTAGAGCTCCCAATCTACCTTTAGATTATTTTCCTCATTTAACACCACAACAGTGCCATATGCTATCAACTCTCTAGATGAGGAAAATAATGTTAAAAGAATTTGAGTGACTTGCTTGGATGCCACAGATCCCAGGGACAGGGCGGGTACTTGGCCCCCAAGCTCTCAGTCTAGCACACTTCCCTCCACACACATCGTTGATTAAACTATTAAGGTTCATTTGAATGCTCAGTACCTCTGATTAACACTGTGCTTCTCCTTATCAATTCCCAAATAGTTTTAATAAAATTTATAAGTAATTACATATTAATGTTGTCTTATCAGTTTTAATGTATCCAATGACAGCTCCACAAGACCATTTTGGAGAGTGATGTCAATAAACGGGGAAAGCCTATACACTGTTTCCATGGCTCTCAGGTAAGACAATGGCCCCTTTTCCTGCACCCCTGTGTATGAGGCACATAGTCTCCCATCACTGAAGAGGAAAGCAGCCATATAAACTCAACTTGTCTAGACACCAAGAAACAATTTTTATCAACTTGAAAGATTATTTAATCGAGCTAACATTATTAATCCTACGAAACTGGAGAGGGGCTTCATATTCAGGCAGTCCTCATTTTATTGCAATTTGCTTTATTGCATTTTGCAGATACTGGGTTTGTTTTTTGGTTTTGATTTGTTTTTTTACAAATTGAAGGTTTGTGGCAACTCTGCATCAAGCATGTCTGTCAGCACCATTGTTCCAACAGCATTTGCTCATGTTTGCATGTCACATTTTGGTAATCCTTGCAATATTTCAAACTTCTGCATTATTGTCACATGTGTTACAGTCATCTATGAACAGTGGTTGCCACTCACTGAAATCTCAGATGAGAGTATTTTTTAGCAATAAATTATTTCCTAATTAAAGTATGTACATTGATTTTTAAACATAATGCTATTACACACTTAACAGACTACAATATGGTATAAATGTAACTTTCCTGTACAGTAGAAAACCAAAACCTTCATCTGACTTTGCTTTACTGCAGTATTCGCTTTACTAGAATATTTGCTCTATTGTGGCACTCTGGAACCAAACCCACAGGATCTCCCAAGAATGACTGTAGATCAATTCCTATACTGGAACTGAGTTAGCCTGGCTAGCCCAAGAAAGACAGAGATCTTAGGTTCTCAGAAATGACTTAGGTTTAGGAGTAAGTAAAGTATCTAAGGAGAAAAGTATAGTGAACACTTTTCTCTAGAATTACTTGGCTCAGGTTCTGTCTAAAGGCAAAGATTAGATTCAAAACCCAAACAACCCCCAGTGAACTAAAGTCAAGCCCTCGGGTGGGCAGCATCACGAGGGATGGGGCAGCTCCTCACATGCTC